TAATTGTTTGTTTAAAATATATCCACGGCAAACGTTTAGTACACGTTTAAAATTTCTTGAAGATGTTTTAAAGGCATTACAATAGTGAAAATTGGTTTTAGTAGTTCCCGATTTCCAACAAATAAACAAACTTTGGTGTGGCAGGTGTCAAGTTTATAAATCGTTACTTATAAACAAAAGTTTGTAAACAAGGCTACAACACATACATACATATGCTCCAAAAACATTCCTTTACATTCCCTTCTAAGCTCCACAAACAATAGTGGTACACTACGATGATAACATGCATAAAAAATGTCATACATTACATAGTAAACATCTGGCGTACGGTCCATACTCGCGCGCACCTAGTATTGGTGCAACGTGCGCGGGCGCACAGCACTGACTGCAGAGGCGCCCTCTGACCGGCGCATTGTCAACAACCGAATGAATGGAAATGAGCATCGTATAACACGAATGCATTGGCCCATATTTCTTGATAATGTTACACCTTTGATCCATTTGTAAATAAAAATTGTTGACTAAAATATTTGTCTACGATACAATGTAGGAATGAATATTGAATCTGTCTAGACCAGGCATCCTGCGGCGCATTAGTTGGTCATGGTCTCCTAGGTTCGATGCCCAGCGAAACAATTATTGTATTTGATTTGCAGAGGCCGATCAGGATATAAAGTAGGTTATTTATGAAAAATTATTCCTATTTGTTTGAACTTAACGATTTGCTTATTAAATAAAATTAGTTTTGCGTACTTACCACAAAGCCATGTCGGCCTTTAGAATATCGCTCTCTTGAAAGACTAAATTATGCTGCTTCTGAAATGATTAGATATATAAAGTGTGAATTTATAATATACCTATTAGTTCATCTTTATGTCCTTAACAGAAATGGGCGGGGAAGGCAAGATGCACAAATAAAAGATGGACTTTGAAGACATATGGAATGGACCAAGGGGAAGAAGGAGAAGAGGGCGCCCTAAAAAAGGTGAATAGAAGAAATAAAAGCGTTAGCAGGAAGTGAATGGAGAAAGAATGCCATGAACAATATATTTGGAAAAAGCTGGAGGATTAACCGAGAAATGGTTCCGATCAACGGTACTGAAGGAAGCTATAGGATATAAGAACAAATCTAAGCTGTATATATATTCTACTTTTGTAATGATCGGTAATCAAACGGGACTTTATTATATTATAAGTTCATCTATTGTAAAATTATAAATTTGTATTAATACTAATCTAAAATTCATACTTAGACGAATAAAACCCCTTGTCATTTAATTTTATTTGGAAGTGGTCATAAATCTTAATATTAACTCGTTCGCCATTCATATTATATTGGTTAAATGATAAATGGCTGCATCATTGTATTAATATGGGGTAATAAAATACACATTTCTATAATACATAGTTATGGTTTATCCAATTTAATGTTTCAACTTAAATAATCATATCATTACGATGATTTGCAGCCAGTGGTGGTGGATTTAGACTGAGACTCAAAACTTATGATCTTTAATTCGAATTTCGTATGTCCTAAATTTTCTTTCGTATTTGATACTCGAGACACTTGCTTTAACTAAAACACTGGTGTGTTTTCCAACGTTTTTCGTCCATTCCCTACCTTTCTAAAATTCTGATGGTACATAATTTTTAATTTAAAAAAATTGAATTGTTCACTTAAGTTACTTAAATAGGTTTGAGGAAGAAACTATTAACGAAACTTCAAACATTAATGAAAAGCTGAAATTAATATTCCAAATATTTTGAATAAATTTTCGAACCCCTAAACAATTAAATGCCCCCCTTGCTTTAGACCTTATGGACGGCGTGTGGCACTTTTCAAAATTTTGTTGTTATTTCAATTATTTACGTTATCTAACTAAAATCTAATTTATTATGTATTAATCGATTTATAACCTTCCTTGCAGTGACAGGCAGTAAATTAAACTATTACTTTCGTTATTCGTAATAAGATGTAGTTATAGGTTTAAGAATCTTTTGAGTAGCTTCGCATGGTAATTCTTTATTATGTACCTACTTTCGCAGCTTTCGGCGACATTAATTATAACCTGTGATATCGTGTTTATTATCATCAATTAGTATTAGTATACATTAAGTATCAATTTATATACTATCATAGTATGAAATAGTATATCAAAATATTTTTAAAACCGTTATCTGTAAACAAATAAAAACATATTTTCTTAACACGTAAGTTATATAAATTGTGTATGTAACAAGTATATGTAGAGAAGAAAGCGCATTTATTGGTGCAGCTGCGCACGCGCAAGTATTCGGGAGCCGTGTTTGGGTGTAGGGTCATTGACCGCGAAGCGCCGCGGCACCCTTCCTTTTCTAGTGCAATTCCTGTCGTTTGTCACGTCATCCAAAACATTCATCTTATCTTTAAATTATATTTAGTTGGTAATAAAGCCCTCCGACTTTGTAACTCCAAAGATAAATTACTTGTCTGAGGGTCCTGGGTTTGATGTTTACACAAGAGAGATATTAGTATATTATATGCTAGCGATTTAGTAAATGGATAGAAACAATTGCGTATATAAAACCAGTTATTGGAGGTATTAGAAACTTCTACAACATATCAGTGAGTATAACAGCGTCCCAATTCTTAAAAGCCGGCAACGTATTTTCTTTTTCTTTCTTTTTTTGCGACTGAAGCGCAAACTAGCTGATGTAGTCTCTGGCAGAACCAGCGCTGTGGAACATTCTGCTCCTCAGCATATAATGCGGAGCCAGGGCCAATTACAGCCACAGCACACACGCATTACACACTTGAAACGAACCTTGTTCTTTAAAAAGAAAAAAATTGTTAGTTTTCATTCTTTTTTATATATTTTTTTGATTATTGTTATTTTGTGTGTTTTTGTTTGTAATAAATGATATGTCTATGTCTATTTGCGTTCTGGCAGTGTGAGTGTCCATCGGCGGTAACACTTAACATCAGATGAGCCTTCTGTACTATAAAACATAACCCGAAAGCCCAACATTCGATTTACATAAAATAATTACTAATTGGAAAAACTTATTAAGACGTTTACTGCTATAAGAAAACCAGCTTATAACGTAATTTCCAGCTTTGAGTCCGTAGTAAGTCGCCTTCACGGTGTATTTAATGCAGTATAAACTTTCTTTGTTCATTTATGTGGAATTCGGAGCGTTAAAACACACATTTAAAATATATAAAAAAATTGTATGGAATGAAATAATTTTTTTTCATAAACGGATACAAACGTGAATTTATTGAAATACTTATATTTGATGTTTTAAGTGCTTTTCAGCAGTCGTAAAATCGATTTATTGAGAGAAAGATTTATTGAAATACATACATATATATGGACTACAAAGGGCTATCAATAATAGCAGTGTTGGCCTAGCTTAGGCGTGCGACTGCGCTGGAATCATGGCATTGGACGAATAGAAATTTCTTTCTATGTGAGCTATTAACACTGGCTTGTAGGGAGAAGGCAAACATCACGAGGATTCAGTGTCAGGCAGACAAGGCTGATCATCTTTCTTAACCAAGGTGGAACTGCACAGGACAAATCTCAAATCTTTTATTGAAACTGTTACAATATAGGTTTATTTATAAGCGAATTCTAGGTCCGCCCCTGGATGTTTTAGCCTCTAAACTTTAAAAGAAATTTCAAACTACCAATTTACCGACGCCCATGGACACATACTACACGGGCTCGCAAGTCCGTTGCCCTTTTAACTGAAGTATATTCGAAAAAAGCTTTTGATTCCGATATGATAGAAGAAATAAAAAATAAAAGATGCTGTATACTTAACTTTTAATTACATAACAAATTCGTTAAAAATACATTAAACGACTAAATTACAATAAGTACTTTGTACGAATAGGTATTAAACGCAACAAAATGGTACTCATATCATTTCAATCGCATATAAATTCTCCAAAATAAATATAAATCTCCTATTCCAGCTATTTACAGCCAACGTCAAATAAATCAGAAAATAAAACTAATTTTAAAGAATACTTTCATATTTTTACACTTACACTTTAAATTTGCGTTACATGAATGTAAGCAAAATGATGGCGCATTTTGATTGGTCAATGACCAATCACAGACACGCGACACGATCCCTTCAACCAATCGCAAACAAACGAATCGCGCCATCTTTTGTTTTACATTCTCACGGGAGATCTTATTGATAAACGTACTATGAGCATTAAATAATCATATCTATTGCGAATACATATCAAAAGATTAAGTACGTTTATAAATAAGCTAGTAGGTACCTATATACTATATACAGTAACATTTGGCAAATCAATCCATTAGCACGCTCGAAATATATTCATTTGAGAAAACAACGTATTAAAACTTCATTATTATATTGTAGTTTTGACCCTCATTCTCATTAGCGAATTCTATTGCAAAATAAATGTGTTGTAATCATTTTCTACAGATATATTACAGCCATTTTCTAGACTCTTTGAATACTATTTAGAAACTAGTGCGAACTATCACTTCCTATATCAAAATCCTAAAAAAATTGCGTACTCGTTTCTGAATCTTACCCAAAGTAGTTACGAGAGCTGTGGTCAGGAGTTAGTGCGTATATTGAAGTATTGACGTCGCTAGATTGCGATCTTTTACGAAAGTCGAAGAAATAAAAAGAGTGATTTGAGGTTCTAAAAACCAAATGGCTTTTAACGTCAATGCCTACTCTTTTACGCACTAAGCGTATAAACACTACTTTAACTTTCCAAACTTCAAAAACAACTTCAAATTTTCAGTACTGAACGGAGTTAAAACAGAAGGAAATTTTACGAATACGACATGGTAAACGAAAAATCTGTGACAAATATCATACCCCTGTATGTTTTGTAAAGCGATTTCCGGCACTAAAATTTATCATTATTACATTGTCAAACTCAAAAATGTGTCTAAAATTTACGTATACTGTCTCAAATGAAGTCGTGAAAGGCACAGCGTGATTGTATATTTGTTCATTTACCCAAGGCCTACGTCTAAACACATCATCACCAGGAAACCGATGATGCAGCCCCACGTAGCCAACTTGCCGTTACCCCTGTAACAAAATATTAAATTTAAATATCTTTATATACTGCTCAAAACAATTAGCGGAACAAGATTTTTCTCCTTTCTATTGCTTAAACTAAAATTAGATTTAAATTAACTTGTACGCTATTTTTTACCTTGTTAATTTGTTAATTACTACAATTAATAAAAAATATCAAATTTGAATTTTCATTACTTTCTAATCACAGAAAACACATTTTAAGTAGTTTTTTTCAATCTTTTGAGTATTAATAGAAATTGATGTGAGCCTTTTGAGTATTGTTATTCATTGAAGCGAGTGAGTTTAGGTCATAATGCCAGATCTGACTGAATTGCATGTCTCCCGAGCTATCGCTTTGCTTGAAGAGGGTCGAACTATGCGTTATGTAGGAAATGATCTAGGAGTAGCCCCTTCTGTTATCTACAGACTTTGGAAGCGATACCGTGAGACGGGAGAATACTCACGAAGGCGTGGTCAAGGTCGAAAGAGAAAAACTACACGTTTGCAAGATCGCTGCATCGTCAACTGTGCTTTACGTAACCGCACCACAACTGCAAGAGATCTACAAAATACACTAAGGACGGCTACTGGTGTAGAAATTTCCGACCAGACGGTAAGAAATAGGTTGTTGGAAGCCAATTTGAGATCACGCCGACCAGTTCGGGCTGTGCGTCTAACAATTCAACATAGACAAGCTCGCCGACAGTTCGCGCAAAATCACGCTAATTGGCGATACAGTGCAGCAGCAGTCCAGGAATATGACAAATTTGGATGTGGCTCTGTGATGGTTTGGGGCGGAGTAAGTTTGGACGAGCGCACAGATCTCGTCGTTGTTCCCGGGCGCTTGTGTGCTCAAATTTACATTGAAAATGTGCTCGAAGATCATGTTTGGCCCGCAGCATATGGTATGGGCCCAGATTTCCTTTTAATGCAAGATAATGCCAGGCCGCATACTGCAGCCATCACGTCAGATTACTTACGACAGCAGGAAATCCGTGTAATGGAGTGGCCTTCCATGAGCCCTGACCTAAATCCAATTGAACACATTTGGGACTTGCTTGACAGGCGCATCCGGAAGCGTCCGATTGCACCTCAAACACTGCAGCAGCTCACTGAAGCGTTGATTGAAGAATGGGAGCGAATTCCACAAGAAGATATTCGGAGGATCATACGAAGCATGCCGCGTCGTTGTCAAGCCGTGATTAGGGCTCATGGAGGCCACACACGTTACTGAAAGTCACTAAAGACGAATATTCAAACGATATAAGAATATTTCTTTGATGGACCTTTTTTATCACCAATTAGTTTTTCGTCTACAATGCACATTTTAATTTTTTTTTAATAAAAAAAATACAAATTGAATTTTTTTATTAATTGTAATAATTAACAAATTAACAAGGTAAAAAATAGCGTACAAGTTAATTTAAATCTAATTATAGTTTAAGCAATAGAAAGGAGAAAATCTTGTTCCGCTAATTGTTTTGAGCAGTATATATATATATATTTTACACTCTTGGACGCAGTGATGAGAAATTTCCACCACTGATAATGCTTGGATTGACTTGCACTAAAGGAAAACAATTTCGCAAATCTTATTTGCAAATATAAATAACATTGCAGAATTTCTATAAGCGATGTCGTGTCGATGTCTAATAATATTTTTCAGGAGGCGGATCACCCCAAGTTAAGCGTGAAATAAAAAAAAAACCAGTGGCGTTACAACCTCTTTAGGTCTTGGCCTCAGATTTCTGAATCTGTTTCATGATCATTTGTCAATCTAATAGGCAAGTAGGTGATCAGCCTCCAGTGCCTGACACACGCCGTCGACTTTTTGGGTCTAAGACATGTCGGTTTCCTCACGATGTTTTCCTTCACCGTTCGAGCAAATGTTAAATGCGCACATAGAAAGAAAGTCCATTGGTGCACAGCCGGGGATCGAACCTACGACCTCATATGAGAGTCGCACGCTGAAGCCACTAGGCCAACACTGTTCGGCTACGATTCGCCAGGCCACGATTACGATTCGGCCAACACTGCTCAAAGCGTTAAATAATAATAATATTTATTTGTGAGACAATACAGTTCATTAATTCAATATTTTCCACCGGCAACACCTGGTTTGCAAGTGTGTTACCAGCCTTAAAGGGATACGAAATCCTTTGCATAAACGCCTACGCACATTAACGTTCATCAAATACACTAGCAATAATTTACTTCTAGACTTTATGTATCCGCTATCAAATTAGGGCCCATACACTTTCCGTTATGTTGTCGTCATCCATTGAGAAATAAGGACGACACGTGAATATCAAAAAGGTATACACACATCACGCACAGATAGACAATAGTCATTGACTGCCAGTTCAGTCCACTAGCGGGAAATCGCGGCCATTTTAAAACAATTCCTCGTATTTTCAATCGGGACGGTTCTTATTAAAATAATACGTAAATAAAATTTCTTTAACGAAAAATCGAATTCATTTTAAATGTTTTTTAGTAATCTTCGCATAAATAAACATAAACAATATGTAAGATTGTGGCTCATTTAGGCATTTATAATGATTTCTTGGTAATTTAATTAAAACATATCAATACGTCGTAACAATAAAAACAATCAACTATTCAATTGATTGAATATCAAATAATAAATTTCTAAAAATGTTACAAAATATTAAAATAAATAAAACAAAGTTATTTTTAAATGAAATCCGAAATATTTTTGTAATTGAAATCAGTCGTAACTGAATACTGCCCATACCATTCAAACATGTGATACAAAGTGTAAATAAAAGGCCTGATTAATAATTCAGTTTCAACGGTCCAAACTATTAATACCCAGTAAACGTAGCTTATTGTAATAACACTTAGCAATGGATGCTGATCACGTCTCCACTGGGGAAGACCAGTTGAGCACACGCCGCTGTAAATACCCATATTATTGCCTTATGTTCATACCAGATCCTACTTCATTATCCAGACTGTTTAGTGATTTTATTAAGTCTACCGGGATAATCAGTGACGATACAACATTTTTAGGTCTGGGCCTCAGATTTCAAGTAGGTGATCTGTCTCCTGTGATACACACGCAGTCGACTTTTTGGGTTAAGGCAAGCCGGTTTCCTCACGATGTTTTCCTTCACCGTTCGAGCGAATGTTAAATGCGCAAATAGACAGAAAGTCCACTGTTGCACAGCCGGGCATCGACCCTTCAGGGATTAGAGACGTACGCTGAAGCCACTAGGCCAACACTCTTCGGCTACGGATACGGCATATTTATTTATTTGCTCAACAGTATTCCTACAGCTACTCACTAAACAATATTCAAAAATTGACATTGTACACAAAAGCCAAAAACGGAATACATATTCAAACATTAACAAAGCACAGTTTCACCTATATATACAAAAATATAACAAAGTATATATGTATTTATAATAAATTCTAAGTTCTAAGATTCATTAATCATTATAATATATATATATATATATAAGAAAAATGGTCTTCGTTTGAGGCTCCTTCACGCCTAAACCACTGATCGTATCGACAAAATATGAAAAAAATAAAATGAAACATAAAATTTTATTTATTTCCTATATTAATTCGCCCAGCGAACCGGGCGGGAAACGGCTAGTATTTAATATAAAGGAAGAATAACAAAGCCATTATTAATAAAAGATACCAGATATATTTTTTGCCAGCTAATTTTTATTTTCGTACTCAAAATATTCGATTAATATCTAAATTAAAATAATTGAAAACATTTACGTAGTAAACATCTTTGTAAAAATAGATCTCTAAATCATCCCAGAACATTCAATCTTCTTCCTAACCACTAGTTCGTCCTATAAACTCCTAATAAGGGACGACGGACCATACATGAAGAATATGGTGATGAGAAATGAAAAAGCGTTAGAGCCAAACCAGAATTCTATTCATGCCCTCCCAAAAAATGTCCTTCGCAAAGGATGCGCTGCAATCTGGAGGTAGGTCAGGGAGTGCAGATTCCCAGACGATGACGTCATTAGACAAACTAGAACGCTCCCGACTTTATCCCGTAACAAACATTTTATATATTGATACTGGCGAGACGGTGACAAGCCCACGCACACATTAGATTTACTTCATGCTTCAAAAACGCAAATATTTACGATAAATAGACGTCCGCTCAAAGGTACGGACACATTTCTGCGTCCGTATCATTAATCATTTTTCATGTCAATTTTAATAGAGTTTTCTTCAATCTGACATTTAGAAGTAAGTCTCTTCATGACCACAAACGCTGTGAAGGATTCCAAACGTCGAGGTCGATTAAAAAAATTCGCATTTCCTTTAAAACTTTTATTTAAGTAGTGCCTTTTAGTATAAGACGGTTTCCTCACAATGACGTGCAATTTATTTTCGCAACCCAATGTAATCTATACTTCTATACTAATACTATAAAGAGGAAGAATTTGTATGTAAGTATGTTTCTAACGAATTGGCTCAAAAAGTACTGGACCGATTTTAAAAATTATTTCTGCAAGAAAAAATAAGGATACATATTATAAATCTCAGTGAAATGTTTTTAAAAATTACCCGTTGATGTCATGTATTCTGTTATCATTTTGTTTCCATCAAGTCTTTACACAAAGGGATAGCGATACACTATTGCTGAATACATTATTATTTAGGTATGTCAGATTTACTGTACATTTTTGCCAAAATTAAAAAAAAAATGTCCTTCCGTGCGAACTAAGAACACTAGTACACAATATATTCGAACGAATAATCTCTCGATTACTATATCTTAGGGTAGGTGCTTAACAACCCTCAGGGTAGATACCCTAAGGATAGTTTTTGACGTAGAAAACGTAACGAATTTATCTACTAAAAAATATATATCTCTGCTGGAATATGGTAGCCATCCTACAGGTACTAACTAGCCTTTTGGTAAGTGACACCGCAGCTCATGTACACTGCCAGAAGTCTACCAAGTTGGCCTTTTAAGAATGGTTTCAGTCATGTACGATAAATCTCGAGCCGGAATCTTACCCGAGAAAAGTTCAATTCACATTGTCTATTAAATGTGTGATAAATCATTTTTATTTGACTACAAAGAATTGTATAAGTCGGGACCGTTTGATAGAAGATTTTATTTACAGAGTGTGGACAGCTGCATCTGTGCCAAATGCTGTCAATTTATACCGCCTATATTACTTTTTAACTAACACTTAGTCATATTGGATGAGGAATAAAAATGAGTAGTGGAGCAATAAAATTGTGGTTCTTCTATTTTCTTATAAAGTGCCGTTTTCTATTCAAACAGGAGTAGTAAATGCTACGGGTCGTTTTTTCCAGAATCAATTGCCTCGTTATAGAAACAAGACTCGTTATATATTAATCGTGATAATTTTTAAACTAAGAAAAACAAAACAAAATTTATTGACCAACAGGCACTTTTATAAGTAACAATATTTTTATTAGGAAAAAATTAAAAATATATTTTGATTAATATCAATCCAGTGGCGTTACAACCCTGAATGGGTCATGGCCTCAGATTAGATTAGTTTCTTTGATTTTTTTTTATTTCATAGACAAGTAGGTGATCAGCCTTCTCTCAGACACATCTATTTTTAGATTGCAGACATGAACGAATGATACTACACTGTAAATGTATTTTTTTTTAGGGATTTAGGCAATTTTAGGTGATTATTGCCCCCCCCGTGTAACGCGCCGTAACATTTTCCTGTACCCAAGTATAGTAAAACGTTTCGTGACCACCCACCTAGTGACTCTTTATACCTAAAAGTTACCATTATGTGGTGTAAAGTGCTGGAAAGTCGAAAATAATATTAACAATAACGCGTAATTCAATCCCAGCCGCGCATCGTCACGTTTTACAAAAGGACCCCCCTTCCAAAATTAGTTACGTAATACTTTAACGCTCCCTTAGACACATCCTTTATCTACTATTTTAGATGGTTATAGTTTATAGATTAAAACCTATTTCTATTAATTCAATTTTATAAGTAAATACGAACATGTTTGATAGTTTGTTCTGGCGCCGCGTCCGGGTTGTCAGACAGTGGCGCGCGCCACCTATTCTACTCGACATTATTTGAGTCGCAACACGTCTATAAATACATTGATTGCGCTAGATGCATCGCAATTTGTTAATATACTGTACTCGTCAACCCATGATTTGTATAACACGTAATTTATTTCTATTCAATTTCCGCGTAAATAAATGAAGCGGAAACGCGAATTTGCGCGTAATTTTTCCTTACTACGCGTTATACATTTCTTCCTCAAAAGGACTAAAAACGTCAAGTTAATAATGTATTAAATCCTTTAAATAATAATTATTAAAATTCATTTTTTAACCTATAAAATCCTCACTATAATGTTCCAGGAATTGAGAAGCTCTTTATTTTAAGTGAAAATACACATTTGAGAGATAGTTCTTTAAAATTGAAGACCACTCAACATAACACAAATTCCCCAAAAGAAATTTCTCCCAAACCGAGAAGTGGCCGACTGGAATAGGCTTCCGGAAAGTGTAATTAGTGCACCAACTTTGAACTCTTGATAATAGGTTGGATAGTATCTCAAAATCTCCAAATACGCGCGCATCAGCTTTTAAGCTGCTAGTGTGTTTATACACATAATAATAAAAATAGTAATAATAAATTTAGACAGTGGTTATTAGAATTCGTATGTTGCACTTTGCGCTTATGCATAACGTGTTGTCTACAGCGACTAAGGATTTGTTAACATTCAATTCTGAATAATTAGTGTATAATTTGTACCGAAGACAATTCAATTTCCTTTAAATATAAATACCAATATTTCATATAAATCCACGACTGTACTAGACATTCTTGTTTTTCAACTCTTTGTAATATTGTAATAATCATTAATATATTAATAAAATGTCATTCTACAATGTAACAAAGCAAAAGGTTCTTGGATTGGAGCTCCGGTGAGCTTTCTTTTAAAAAAAAGTTAATTATAAAAATCCTTTGTAATAATTTATAAGCTATTCGTAATATTTTAACTTTTCTTTCTGCACTGCAAAGTGCACATTTGACATTCGCTTAAACGATGGAGGAACGTATGAGACCTGATGCCTTAGGCACAGAAGGATCATCTACTTGCTTATTAAAAATAAAATAAAAGAAACAGAAATCAGATGCCAAAACCAAGCGCCAATAATATTTAATACACAATCTAATACACTGGCATCGGTAAATATGAATCCTAAATAAAATAAAATTGCAGACATGCCGGTTTCCTCACGATGTTTTCCTTGACCGTACGAGCGTGTGTGTGGACATAGATTTCATTGGTGCACGGCCGAGGATCGAACCTACGACCTCAGACATGAGAGTAGCACGTTACACCCACTAGGCCAACAATGCTATTCTATTAATTTATATCTATATACTAGCTGACCCGGAAAACGTTTATTTTGCGATGTATATTATTTCTAGGAAACATTTTTTTAGTTCAATAAAAATAACTATCTACAATTATGAAAAATAAGGGTTGACCGTAGAGGGGTGAAAATTAGGGGTTGTATGTATTTGTATGCTGTATCATAAAAAGTTTAAACAAAAAAAATCTAAAAAAATAAAAAAAAATTTAGGGGGGGACCCCTTATCACTTAGGAGTTAGGGGTTTGAAAGATAGATAGTACCCGATTCTCAGACCTACAGAATATGCTTAGTTTCGGAGGAGTATGGGAACGAACATTGTTACACGATAATTGTATATATTAGATAATAAATATATAATGGCCCGGTAGTAATACCTAGTAGAATGGATCAAATGGAATAGGTACATTTTATGAAATTTCCATCTTAAATGCATAAACTTTAAATTATTTTTTAGTTAAAGTTTTATTCTATTTTTATGATAAATATTAAATTAAATTATAATAATATGTATCGGTGAGTCGGATCTGTAACACGATGGCCGCTTTCGTGTGAATGAGTTTTGACACGGCAATAATCGACATCGAACCATGCAGCATTACAATAAATTTACGATTATATGTAAGAATCCGTTACCTAATAAAATTCATAATATTGTGAGTACTTTGAACGATTTTAACTTTCGGCGTTACGTAACATTAGCGAAATCGTGAGAAAATATGCAAGAAATGCCAATAAGATCAATAAATTGGAAAATTATGAGCGGCATTAATCACTGGGAAAGTATTAGCGTTAAATTTATAAGCCACACATGATTATGGCGAGTTGAACGTCCGCTACGGCTTCAAGTATTCAACGAGATCAGGTCTATTTCGTTCTAAACAATGAGCAAAGACGGCTGTACTCAGATCCGGTCCGAGTCTGCCCTCCAAGTAGCCAAAGCTCTTTAGAACCTGGACGAAAGGAATGAACTGGTTCCGGACAATGTGCGAACAATCAGCCCGTTACTAAGGGGAAGTAATTCTCAATTCAAATTTGCTAACAAGCACTCTTCAAAACCGGCAATGTATCGTCAATCCAATTATGACAGATCGTATTTTCCCTGGAGATTTTGCACCATAGATTAATTGAAGGGGCCATCCGATATGTATCTATGAAAACATACGTACATTATAAGAGCATTTGAATGTCGCTCGAATTACCCGTAGACGCAATAAAGAACGTTATCTTGTTTGTATTGACATTGAAATGCAGGACGAGGCCCGCCTCGCAAGGGTCAGGACAAAGAAACGCTCCATTTCGTACTTTTGGGTCATTCTCAAGGACAATTTAATTATTCATTCCAATAGAAGTACACATTAAGGAGTACATCCTGCAGTACCCACTTGGGGTATTAAAGTAGGTCAAACGACTGACTTTTGTGCGTTTGTGAAGTATGTTTTAAGTACCTGGCTTATGTTTAGTTTCTTCAGATGTGACTTCATATCGAGAGACTGCTGGGACTTAAAAAAACAAATCAATATTCTTGATATGCTTTTCGCATAATGATGATCGCGACTGTTTTGGCCTAGTGGCTTCAGCGTGCGACTCCTGAGGCTGAAGGTTCGATCTCCGGCTGTGCACGAATGGACTATCTGTCTATGTGCGCATCTAACATTCGCTCGAACGTTGAAGGAGGACATCATGAGTAAACCGGCTTGCCTTAGACCCAAAAGTCGACGGCGTGTGTCAAGCACAGGAGGCTGATCACCTACTATCCTATTAGATATCTGAGGCACAGACCTAAAAAGCTTGTAGCGCCACTGTTTTTTATTGATATAATCAAAAATATATATTTTGTTTAATTATTATAGATAAGATTTGGTTTTTTGATTAAATATTTAATTTCATACGTTCAAGATCAATTTTGTAAAGGTACAATAACACCGCCGATCATCAAACAACGAAATTTTTTTAGTACCCTTCAATCTTAATCCAAGGTCATGGGGTAGTTAATAAACTTAAAATTCAAGGTGTACTTACGACGCATTCGCCTCAGGGATGATGTCATCAGCTACTACGTATATCATGGCACCCGCCGCGAAGGCCAGTGCGTAGGGCAAAGCTGGTTGCGCATACGCAACAGCCACAGCGCCTAGCACCCCGAAGACTGGCTCCACCATACCTGACAGCTGGCCGTACCTGAGAACAATAAGATTATTTTAATTTTAGTATTTTTTAACCGACTTGAAAAATCTAAACGTTGAGTTTTTTTAGACGACTTACGATCGCTTTAATGCTCATAATACGTCATAGCTACGATGCGTAGATAGGTAGGATATCTAAAATAAATCAGTGGCGCTACAACCTTTTTGTCTGGGCCTCAGATTTCTGTATCTGTTTCATGATCATTTGTCAATCTAATAGGCAAGTAGGTGATCAGCCTCCTGTGATACACACGCAGTCGTCTTTTTGGGTCTAAGCAAGCTGGTTTCCTCACAATGTTTTCCTTCACCGCTCGAGCGAATGTTAAATGCGCACATAGACAGAAAGACCATTGGTGAACACCCGGGGATCGAACTTACGACCTCAGGGGTGAGAGTCGCACGCTGAAGCCACTAGGCCAACACTGCTGTAGTACGTATATATATATCTAATAAATCGTAGCAATTACGACTTTTGGTTATGAGAAACGAGCGTTAATATTATTATACTAATATTAAACTTGTTATATAATCTAAAGCATGATTTAAAGCTCATAACTCAATTAGTGTTTTAATTAAATAGCTATTAAAGGTTTGCACAATGTAGGAAGAATCTGATTACATACTAATGAATGCCTTGACAGATAACATTGTCTTTCGATTAACATATAAACGCATATTTAATACATTATTTACATAACGACGTTTCGAATGCTTCAGCAACCATGGTCAGCGTGAGACTGCCACATCAAGCTGAAACACTGTCATGGTCATGAACTTATGATTATTCTATTGAAATGTTGGTATATAACACCTTTTGCAACCTTTGGTAATAATAATAATAAATTTCAAGTTTGTTTCACATGAAAAAACGTATATCAGTTACGCTAGTTATATAAACAAAAATAGTCTGGTTTAAACAAAAATAGTCTGGTTTATCTGACGCTGAACTAGGTGTGAAACTGTATTTCAACATACAGCGCCTAACCCCTTAAACATAACAATGTGACAAATAAAATATGGAGCATCAAGTAGGTACATAGCTTATTGAAAAAACAAATATCTTATAATGTACAATCTATTTAACAAGCAAAAGTTATCTTAGTAGGTAGTTCCTCAGTTTTCTCATAATTTAGGCTTTGTAACCATTTAGTTACTTTGGTATTTACAATATTCCCTTAGATTTTTAAATAACCCTTTTTTCACTGACAAAGAATTTATAGAAACCAATGTTGGGTATTTAAGTTTTTTTTTATAAATTGAAAATACTTTTATTGATGTGATGTGTCCTGTCCAATTTCATGATCCATCAGACATCCCATACTTTGGTATCTCTGATTATTATCAAGATTTTACTACGTAAAAATGGCAAAATAATTTAATAAATAAAAAAAGCAGATCACTTAACGTAACAGTCACCAAAAATTAGACGTGACCAGAGCTAATGGAAAATTTCGAATTCGCAGGTCCAAATCATGTCGAACAAGTCTCGAAACAGAATGTCGTCAGATTATGCATTGGAATTTGAATAGCTCCAACTTTTGTAAAATGATTTTGATGAAGCTCCTTTTACTGATATACTTATATATAGTGTAAGCTAAAGATTAAAGTAGTGCTACAACCCGACCTGGGCCTCTTTTCTGTATGTTACGTGATTTGATTTCTTCTTAATAAACAACAATAATAATAAAAACTTTATTTATGACAAAAGGGTTGTGACAGAATTCAAATATCGCTAGTCCCCACACTATGGAGGCCCTGTGTTGTGGGTAGCTAGAAAACAATTATTACGTCGTACATGTTTAAAAAAGTTTAAAAATATTAATAATAATAAATTTAGTGTTACAAATTAAGTGAATGAGTGGGTGTGTGAATGGGTGTGTATGCGCATGTATTTGAGAGTGTAGCTGAAAGTTGTAATGATCGTGCACTGTGTCTGTGTTAGTTTATGAAACCTTAAAGTCATACCAAGATATGTAGTAATGGCTCTGTAGATTCGAAATCCAATTTGGCTAGTGTAATTTCTATGTGACTACCGAGTTTATATCTGGATAGTTTAACGATCTCAGAATCCATGGATTTGGAAATTTTATTATAAAGGAACAAATAGGTGATTAGCTTTCTGTGCCTGACACGCGTCTACTTTCTCTGGGCCTAAGGTTTCCTTCACCATACTAGCGAGTGAGAAATGATAGTCCATTGGTGTGGTTCTAGTCCAACAGCTTAGGGAAGCTTTTACAAAGATTAGAGAAGTTTCATTTTAGTGCACAAAAGAGTTTGTATTTCAGTTGTTTTCCAAACCGGGATTGGTTATGTTTGCCTTCCATATGTTGCGCAGTTTAAAATCTTATTAATACACCAATTTGTATTCTTGTCTTTTTCACTTTTGAGGTGTCAGTTCAACGGAATTGTTTAAAACTTTAGATATAGCTGCTTTGGTTTATGCGTTACGACTAGAGTTAGGGTCGAAATTCCATGAATGCTGTCTACTAAACATATCATGAAAATAGCATATGTAGCCTACAACCGTCTCCAGGTTTCAACTCCTTACGATGACAAGAAAAAATGGAAGTTATAGGAAGAATGGAAGGTAAAGAACTAAAGGGGGAAAGACATTCAAACAAATCTTTTGGAAAAACCTTTCAACAATCGTTGGACATATGGCGCTTTAAGTTTTTCCCTTGGTATGCTACCATATGAAATCGGAGGTTCAGATAATGAATGCGTAGAAGCGTTGAGATGGGATTGCGGCGGTGAGAGAGGCAAACGAATTGTTTTGGTGAAAGTGCGGGCCGCCGCGACCACATTCCTACGAACTGGTCGCTGTGGGAACTGCCATGGAGCCACGGAGCGAACCCATGGCCCGCAGAAAAAATGCACACATCGCTTGTTAAATGCTTCATCAGCATTTAATTGAAACAACTTCTAAATCACTTAGAATTCACTATAATAGGAAGCTCTTTAACGTAATGAAATAATAATAATAATCCGTGGCGCTACAACCTCTTTAGGTCTGGGCCTCAGATTTCTGAATCTGTTTCATGATCATTTTTCAATTTAATACGCAAATAGGTGATCAGCCTCCAGTGTCACACGCCGTCGACTTTTTGGGTCTTAGACATGTCGGTTTCCTCACGATGTTTTCCTTCACCGTTCGAGCGAATGTTAAATGCGCACATATAAAGAAAATCCGTAGGTGCACAGCCAGGGATCGAACCTACGACCTCAGGGATGAGAGTCGCACGCTGAATCCAAAAGGCCAACAGTGCTGTAACGTAATTTAATATTCGTCGAAATAAAACCTTCTGAATTACAGTTAACATGTAGGTTATAAACAAGAGTAAAATTACTTTGTTCAATTGGAATTAGAAGTAAATTTAACATTCATCTTGAGAATATCAAAGAGGCTAGGGTTGCCTGGATATTCTATTAATCCTCTCAAAGTTTCTTGACTTCATAAATAATAAAATATGTTTTTTATGGAACATAAGATACAGGTATCACTTATTTCACGTCATTAAATTTGAACTTGTAGGCATCTCTACTCATCGGCAAAGAAGACGTAGGGTGTAGGCCGAGAGAAAAATCCGACGTACAAAACTCTCGGTACTCTTTTAAAATAGCAAATCCTCAAACAACACTTATTTTAAAACAAATATCGGAAATTAATTAGAAGTAGCCTGTCTAGCACTAGTCCCAAGCCCTTTTATCAACGAGATAATCGTAAACTTTAAAAGTAAGCCTTTTTACACAGCTTCTCTTCTTAAATTAATTTTTCTTAAATATTATTATAATATAATAATAATATGTTTAAAATAAATATCCTATTGTTCGATGTACGATATAAACTTACGCATACTAGGAAGCGGCTTGACCGATAATTTAACACTAATTAAAGTAGTGATACTGCAGTTAAATACAGTGACAGCCGTTGTCAGAGTACAAAGAATGAACAGTTATTTTAGCTAAGTTTGTTTGTTGTGAGTTGCAATGTTTTTTTTAAATATTTTTTTTCTTTTAGAAGTAGGCTACTGCCGGAGATAACAAACATTATTCCAATATATGACAAGTGAATGAACCTGCCACTTGTCTAACATCAAGACTTTTATTTATTAAAAGCGTTCAACTACAATAAAGCTTTTCAGGGACAGTATGTACTTACGCCGGCCTTTAAATTTAGATCTTATTTTTTAAATATTGTTCATGTTACATGATTAAACAAATTTTGATTGTTTAATGTACTTTTTGATCGTCTACATATAATTGCTATGTTTTGTTCCATTCTTCGTCTCGCTAATTGTATATTTACCGTAGGTTAGCACTTCATGGGATCACCCAATTTTATTTTCCTTACAGAGTTTGGGGTCGTTCAAGTATTACGTAAGCACTATAGGGGGAGGATTGATTTTCTTATTTGGTGATTACGTCAACAGTAATTATTTACTTTTTTAAACATACATATTACTCTCACATTGTCTATGCTTGCGAACGAGATGGATTCCTACAAACAATTATTACGTTTATGTACTATTATTTCTGGGAGCTTTGCTTAGGTACTTTTGCTGACAAAAGGAAGGGAAAAATTCCAGTAAATCTGCTTACGTAATACTGTGTAAACTCTTTATAACGTCATAATTAGTTAAATTTATTTGGTATATTTTACATTAATTATTCTCTCCCTATAACGAAATCTCTCTATAACGAATAAATATGCTCGGTCCCTTGAAATTCGTTATAAAGCGTTTACACTGTACTTGAACGGCCCCTTAGTACCTACCTGTATAGAAGCATATATATACGTAGTCGGTCCCAAAGTTCTGTCATAAATGGAAATAATGATAAAAACAAAAGTACTGATCAGTTTGTAATGAGTGATATATCAATTCTTAGTACATTAATTAAGGAATAAAAAAAAGCATAAAAATATTCGAAATAACCTCCCTCATTTTTAATACAGGCCCTTAAGCGTCGCGGCCAGTCGTCTATCGCAGCACGCACCATATTCGTGTCGATTTCAGTCACTGGTTTTTTTAAAGATGACTTCAGATTCTCCAAATTTTCATGAGGTTTATCACAGACCTTCCTCTCTAAGCCCTGTCATAATTTTCGGGTCCAAAGGATTAAGGTCCGGACTGGAGGAAGGCCAATCCTCATGTCTAATTAAGACGATGTTTTGACGCTCAAACCAGGCTTTAGTGGTCTTGGCTTTGTATGCAGACGCAGAGTCCTGCTGGACGAAGTGATGTCCCGCAAATAGGGTGCTGGACATGTCTTTGACAAGGCGATACAAAACCGTCTCTTGGTACACTGTAGCACTGGTTTTGACCCCCTTTTCGAAAAAATTAACCTCAGTTAGCCCGTAATAGGACACTCCCAACCAAACCATTACTGATGACGGATGATGTCCATGTTGCACCCTTGGAACTATATTTTCAGCTTCTTCAGAACTCTTAGCGTACACTGTATAATTCTGTTTATTGTACTTCTCTTCAATATCGAAAAATTTTTCGTCCGTAAAGAGGATATCACGGTGTCGGTTTTTCGCGTACCGCTTAAACAACACCCGCGATCTCTTAAGCCTTATTGCTTTTAGACGAGCATTAAGTAAGTGCCCACTCTTTTTTTGTATGCTCGTAGACCAAGATCTTCATTTAAAACCTTTTTTACTGTTTTCCTACTGACACCCATCTGCAAATCCATCAACTTCTGTTTTCGGACAGGATTTCTTACTATCCGCGCCTTGATAGCTTTGATTACTGCTGGTGTTCTTGCGGAGCGTGGCCAGCCAGTTCTTTTCTTGTCCTCAACACTGGAGACTTCAAGGTACCTATCAATAGTACCGTACACAAACCTAAGCGTTATATTCAAATTTTTGAGCAACTTGAAAATGGTACTCGGCGAGTGTCCACAGCGGTGCAACGCAATAACAACTATTCGGTTTACTTTCAATGTCCACTCCATCGTGAAAAATTACGGAAAGTTATTGTTTTTTGTTTTAAAACAATAATCAAACATTCCAAAATAGAATGCAATAATTTTTTATAAAATCCATCTCGAAATGTAGAAATAATGTGCTAGTGACAGAACTTTGGGACCAACTACGTACATACATATAAGAGTTACAAAAACTAAACGCATTATATTAGCACGAAAAAATGTTAGTAGCAGAAAATTCGATGTTTTCGATTATTTTTTTGGTTTTAGTCTGATCCAAAGCTGTGGCTAAATTTACAAATAAAATGTTTTAACCTTAACGAAGCCTTAATTGAACAACATATTTTTTTAAAGTATAGTTTCGTGTAGCTCAATGCTCGCTTACTGTTTGACAGTATCACGAGGCGGTTCCAACGTGATGCTATGTTATCGTATCCATTATTCAACGGATGGCGAAAGCGGCAATTTGCAACGATATTCAACGATTCGTAGAATGGTTACTGTTAACTCTGTCACAGCCGACAACCCGACAACGTATACAGGATGCCTGTCAGCGAAATAGATATATGCTTTTGGAAAACAACTTAATCGCCAAGAATATTTATTGCTAAGCGAAAAAATCAACTTGCCTTGATGCTTTTCGGTAGGACTTTATTAGGGAATATTATTAATAAACATAATACTATTCGCTTTCAAAGCCTTTTATATACAGTTTAATATATAATTGTGAAAATATTTGATATTTTCAATAATCAAACATTCACCATAATACCAAATCAAATAAATAACGTTTAATAGACAAAGATTATTACGTATGTAAATTAATCTTCGGCGTTGAATTTTTTCCCACGCATGACTAGGTAATTGGACGTCATCGATCAAAAATACGATCCAATAGTTTAGGTAGGCATTCGAGAAGATTAGGCGTGGTTATGCGCACCGCAAACCGGCTGCCATTGCGCAGAATAGCGCCACCAAGGCTGGCGGCGGCTTCCGCAACCGCGTCTTCGGTTGCCTTCGGTGTTGCGGCATTGCTCTCTCGATTTAATTATTTAACTCCGAAGGCCGATCGCCCGAGGCAGCGGGCGGCACTGACTGGTCCGACGGGTGCGGCCCGGAAGAGCAGACAGCGCGCCGCCATGAGAATGCGCCAGACTCTGAGGCACCACAGCGACATCGCACACGCAACACATTTCGAAATAGACAACTTTCTCGGGTCCACTTGGCACCTGACGAAATCTATGACGAAAGGCAAGCTGCAGCTTAAAGCGCGGTGTCCGCACCTGCACCGTTTTCTAACAAAGACATCGTCAATTTATTGAACGGTCGTACGTTCCAGATTCAATATGCCATTACTCAGCGATCAACAAACGTTCTCGGAATACAGCTGCATAAAGCTTAGGCAGTTAGATAAGGCAGCAGAGGATGATGAACCCATCATATAAGGTGTGTGTCGTGATGTTTGCACGATGTGAGTCATGTGCTATGAGAAATGTTCAGTAGACGCATTGTCTACACAATGGTTAGCCGATACACCTAATTTGATTATGTCATAATCGAATAAAAACTTTGATTAATAAAAAATTACCCACGATTATATCATGTTCGATACATTTATATTCGTAAACATCATTACAGTCGCAATACAGAAATTTAGAAATTGCATGTTTTTATAGGAACTTTTGGTGAAAATAATCTGTATTTTTATATAACAACGATTTTTACTTGAACTAAACGCTGCTACCAGTAAAAGCTTTCTAGTAGCAGCATTTAGTTCAAGTAAAAATTCGTTGCAGCAAAACAGGAATACAGTACAATAAAAATAATTAAATAAAAATGAGGACAACAAAGCGGCCTTAAAGCTTTCGAGCGATGTCTTCCAGGCAACCACTGTGTGAAAATTAGATAAGGTGAGCGCAAGAAGTGCAAAACTACACAAGACATATACTTCGACACTAATGGAACAAAGAAAACCAATTAAAACATATGTAAACAGTGAAAGGGAAAATAATAAAAAAAATGAATAATTAGTAAAGAGGCATAAATTATGCTTCTTTTAATATAATATTATTTATTGATATTAAACTCTAAACATGAGCCCGTGGGAATCAAAGCAAGACATCAAATCGTCATAAAACAAGTTCGAAAACGGTCTAACTCCACGTCTCCATCGGTACGTTTACACGTACAAGACACATTGTAATAAAATAAAGTTTATTTCTAGTAAAATTACTAACATACAAATAAAACTACATAACTGAATTTTGACCACATCGGTCTCTGGCAGACCGCGATTGAAAAGCACTTACAACGCCGAGTTAAATAATGTAAAAAATGCATTTAAATTTGTCAAATGAAACTTTCATTTAAATGTTTGGAACTGTCTACAAAGTTAACAACCGCGCGTAACATATTATTTTTATATTGTTTAACGCTATGAATAATTCAATTAATTTAAATAAGGAAAAAATCCCCTCTATATGAGGACACATGTTACTATAACATTTTCCTGTGTCAACTTTTTCTCACATTGGGGTTATGGGAAGTAACTTAAATTACTTATTTGACCCATAGACCGTCTCCCATAAGAAAGGAAATCCTATTCCGTGAACGTGAACTAGTATAGCCAAGCTAAGAAGGTTCATTTGACAATTCAAAACTTTGTTTCGTAGATAATTGAGTATGAATTTTCAAATCACCAATTTCATTTTTGCATTTTGGTGATCTGTGAACTGATATTAATAAAATGATTGGGCTATAGAATGGGTATTTGGTAATCTAATTCAATAATGTAAAAAAACGGGTATCAATACATACGATTATTTAGTTGATAAAAGGGCCTGGGACTAGTGCTAGACAGGCTACTTCTAATTAATTTGCGATATTTGTTTTAAATAAGTGTTGTTTGATGATTTGCTGTTTTAAAAGAGTACCGAGAGTTTTTTACGCCGGCTTTTTCTCTCGGCCTACACCCTCTGTCTTCTTTGCCGATGAGCAGGGATGCCTACAAATTCAAATTTAATGACGGGGAATAATTGATACATGTATCTTATGTTCCATAATAAACATATTTTATTCTATTTAAAGCGTGTTGGCTTAGTGGCTTCAGCGTGCGACTATCATGCCTCAGGTCGTAGGTTCGATTCTCGGCTGTGCACCAATGGAATTTAATTCTATGTGCGCATTTAACATTAGCTCGAACGATGACAAACGATCATGAAACAGATACACTGATTTATTACTTATAATTTTCTACAAATCCTACAAAGTAGTCGACAATTTTCGCTTCATTTCTAAATATAAACAGATATTTCACTTAAAATCACACTTATGGATTAAATGCCTACGTATCGTGGCTCTGTTATATTCACGATGCTTAGAGGGCACCCGAGATGGGTCGTTTGCGAATGTACTGCGGGAGTTCGCGACGGCGTTTCTTGTTCAGGCCGCATTCCTTCCTCTTGCATTCCACAGAGCTACCTACTTAGGTTAGTACCGCTTAACTTAGTTAACTTATTTGAACCGTTTCAGCTCTTTTACGACAAAGGACAAGACCGTGGCGTTTTTACTTATTTTTATAGTGCTACTAGGAGACTCGGCCAAGCGTTGCTCTGGCTAAGATTTTTGTTATATTACATAGTAGTAAACTATTCAAGGGAAACGGTAGGAGAACTTATGTGAAAGGTAGATGACAGCTTATGTGAAACGTTGATAATTTTAACACAGCGCCATCTGTTAGAATTGTATCAAATAATAAACAAATATTTTGCAATAAATTAAAATTGCTACTATAATTTGAGATTTAAACTATCCTATCTCTCAAGTTGGATCGAACTGCACATGGTGTGCAAATTTGATTGATATCGGTTCGGTAGTTTAGGAGTCCATTGAGGACAAACATTGTGACACGAGATTTATATATATTAAGATATATATCACCTACTCGTTTGAAGTCACGTTACAATGGAGCATAGTTTCACATAAAAGGCAAATTGGTAATAGTAATGGTTCGTAGTAATTAAACATTACCACCGGGAATCGAAAGCAAATACTACGTATTCGTACTCGTACTCCGTAATGGAGTGCAATATACTTTGCAGTATATTGCACTCCATTTGAAATGTATTGTTAAATAAATCGTAAGTACAAAATTAATTTCGGGCTGAAAACCCTCCTTATTTTATCTAAAAGAAACTTTTACATTCGGGAAATCAATGTTAGAAATTTTACTTGATTCGAAAAAAATTTTCTTTAATTATTTTGGTCAAGAAAAGTTCGCTTAGTAGTAATAAGGTCGCCCATTGCACTATGTAATGTTTAAATTTCATTTAGGTATTTATTGGTTTTTTTATACACAATTTGTAATAATCAAGCTAAAAATTCCTGGACTGATTAAAAAAAGAAACTTAATAATTGTGTTGAATAAAATTTGTATAATAACAAAATATATTCATAGTCAGTCACTACACGCGAGTGAAACCGCGGTGCATTGCTAGTATAGAATAATTAGACGAATAATTGTAGTTTTAATTTCCTACAAAAAGTAGATTCTAACCACAAAAAACCTACCGAAAAAAGCATTACGAGTAACGTAAATTTGGCCCAAGCTTTATAAAGCTCGCTAATGCAATGTAGGGTAACGGAAGACAACCGCATACCAGCCAAGGAATTCTGCCTTCGACCGTCGACTGGCGAGACCAGTCGGTGTTAGTGAACTGTAGCTATGGCTTCTGTGAATTTATGTCGGTACAAATGACAGTTTGAAATATGCATATCTAACGTTTGTGGAGCATGTATTTAATATATGATTTGTATGAAAAATTCGTATTGATCAAGGACCTATTTCATCACTATCATTATCTTCTATACAACCACGTATTGTATGGGCTTGAGCTACTTGGCTGGTGTTCGCACCTCAATATATATATATACAGATATATAGTTATTTAAATATATATATAAAAAACCTTCTGCTCAATAAACGATTTCTTGATGTTCTGTTGTTTATTATAAAAAAACAAAAATTAAAGGTAGAAAGAAGCAAGGAACGGAACATTATTATGATGTGGGCCGTAAAATTGTGCATCACTTCCACGGCCTGCTTAAAAGCAGTAGGTATTAAAAGTTTTGTTCGTAAAGAAGTATAAGTACCTACCTACTATTTTTGTTTGTAAAATCTTTATCGCGTCAATTATGAAAACTAGAAAGATAATTTAGTGGTTTTAATAGCCTTCATTTTATTAAATTATTTTAATTGTATTGTATTACTGCAACGAAGTATAAAAAAAAAAAGTTAAATAATTTAATCACACCTATCTACACTCAATTAATAAAACGATATTGTGTTCCAATAATTTTCCTAAATCCTTCTAGAACGTTCTAAACGTTTAATGAGGTAAACAGATAAGACAATCAATATGCCATTTCCACTACCTATTGTGAAGGGTGCTTTCACTCGGTCATCTAGGGTTGTCTATTTCAAGAAAATAGAAATTCATTCAACAATCATTTAATACGTCCAATTTTGCTCTCATTTCTATCTAGCTAAGTATTAAATCAAGATGATTGAATGAACATTTGATAAGTTAAAAATATTTTAGTTTTTAACAAATAAAGTCAAGAACTACTGGATCAATTACAAAAGTTATTCTATCGAATGTATTATCCCTGAGTAAAATAGATAATATTAACAATCGACTCTCGATAATTTAAAACTCAAGGCAATTGAGATAAATTTGACATTACCAGGAGTTCAAAATAAGAAGCGTTTAAATAACCACGTTTGTTTTCTTTGATCAAAATTCGTAATTAAATTTTTCTATATTATTATTACGTATTAATTGTATTCACAATTTTTTTTAAAGAAGTCTGTTACCTTTTTTTTTTTTGGTTAAATGTCTTCAGTCACAATTGACAAGTCTGTACCTGTATGTAAACAAACGACAGGTCTGTGCATGATAAACACATCTTATAAAGAGTAGAGAAACCCGTACCTTATATCACCGAGGGGACCAATTAACGTTGATTTTATTCCATTTATCTGGTATCATTCAAGGGACCGGAAAACATTTTCCAATTATCGGGTATCAAATTATCGAAAGTCGACTATATTTCCAAAGTGAACAAAAACCGTGCAAAGCCATAGCCAAAGACATAGTCAACTATAATTGGGTTTTTGAAAAATTTCACAATTTAACTTTAACATTATGACGTCACAACATGGTGATCGATCATTCATGGCGCGTTTATAGTCACGTGATTTTTATTTAAATTTCATAAATTTTTAATTGTTTATTATTAATTGAAAAAAAAAATTATAAGTTTTTTGCATTAAACATCAATATTATTAACAATAAAGTTTTAAAATACATTAAAAAAATCAATATATTTTTTTTTTAAACCCAATTCTATCTTATCTTATGAAACAACCTTTTGGAAGACGCAACTAGTATTTTTTTATATTTTTAACTTGTAATATTAACTTTCAAAAGTGCCTTTTTATTAGGCCTAATTGAAATAAATGATTGACTTTTATTAAAATAGACGAGAGAGAATACGGCCAATACAAAAATTCTGAGGAAGTAAATAGCAGCCCTATACATGTCGGGTCGGCGCCATCGTTTCCGAGAACAGCGTGGAATGCGACTCTTTACAGCTTTTACCTATTCGGTAACATTTACAATGCGCGCACGTACCGCGTACGTCACTGTAACCTTTTGCACTGACAATTTGAGAATTCCTTTGTTGAAGGCGGTTAGGAATTTTAAATTTACTTCAACACATAAATATTGGCTAAACGAAAAAACGGATTATTTACTCAATACAAATAATAATAAGGATAAAATTACTAGTAAAATCTAAAATTGAAAATGTAAAAGAATTTTTATTGTTTGTAACATTTAAACCAGAACTCTCATGTATTTTAGACAGCTTGTAACATACTGTATATATAGCATTATACATTTATGATGTGGTGAACTTTAATAATAATAAATACAACAGAAATTTGTGTAACGAAACGAAAATTTGTTAAATACCTTACCATGTGGAATAGTTGACTGGGCTTAATATAAAACTTTCGATAGTTATTTCTTTAATTATTAATAATTACTGGAGTACAAATGCAGCCTCTTAATTATTAAAAGGGTTTCTTGCCAGCTCCTCACGTGTTTTCTACGGCTTGATTTGAGAAATTATAGTAAATATATATTTCAAAACTAGGAACAAAATCATATTGTACCATACACATGTTGATTTAATTTATCGATTCGTACACCTGCCTATAATCCGACACCACAGATTCTCCAAACTTTTGGTATAGTTAAATTAACGAATACTATTCGAACGACGTATGTTCTAGGTCCAAAGTATATAAGCTCATGGTTCAAAATGTATTTAACATTGAATTTAACCTATTAGTTTGTGCTAAAAGTATGAATATAGTCAAACCTGGGTAAGTAAGTGAGAACTGGATAAGTGAGAGTAGTTTTTCTCTCATGGACCTCCGTAAGTGAGACTGCTACTTATCTATACCTCTATAAGCGACAGCCGAGCTTTATTTATTTATATTATTTAGGAGAAAATATAGCTACAATAATACTACTATAGCTGCGTACCGGTATAAGAGAGAAACGCTACCCATGTACCTGCATTAGCGAGAAACTCGGGTTAGTGAGAAACCTCTATAGGCGAGAATGAGATTGTGCTCCCTTGAACTCTCGCTTATCCAGGTTTGACTGTATATAAAAACTTCTACAGTTACAGTTTAACAATTACTGTGGACATAAAATTAACAAACAACTATGACTTATTTAAATATATGTTTTCCATTAACTTAGTTACTGGCCCTTCAGGAAGGTCTGTCTATAGGCCAAAAAAAAGTTTGCGATCTAACGGAGGTAGCAGGAATGTGGTGGATGAAAGTTGCTCAAGCCTCCCTGTCTTGGACTTGAAGGAAAATAGCTTCTATTCAGATGGGGTCTAAATAAATTAATAACATAAGTAATATATACTGATAAAGTATGTTAACAAATTAAATTGGAATTACTGACGCTGTATTATAATTATTCGCTTCATGCTGATAGGTGCCTTCATTTTTAAATTATTCAGTCCACTACCAAAAAAAACAAGTCCTGAATAAATAAGTAACATTCTGTTGTTATCGTGAAGAGTTTGACTGAGAAATATTGATCTGATAGAAGTCGTGTAATAAGTACATAACACAAAATGTTTACCAATTAGCCCGGAAATGTTAATAAACATGTATGGAATATAATCCAGATTATAAAGTGGTGATATTTTTGACGATTCATTATGGGAAGTCTGTGGTAAATGAGTGGTTGGGGAATGGGGTCGGTCAGTCTGGCTGCGTTGGCATTCGTCCCAATGAGCATTCTCCAGGGCTCCCAATATATTAAAAACAGTATTTTTTTCGCTGTTTTTTATTATGTACACAATAACTAACTTTTTAAAAATTGAATTCGAAATCAATTACGATTTCAGAACGAAACTGAAAAAATCTCTAAAATAATTGTCTTGAAACAATAGAAATGTTAAAAATATATAATTAAAGTGTAAAAATAATAATTTTTAGTCCTCTAATATTTTATTTCTTTGATTTAAGTTTTAGAAGTAAGATGGAAACCCTGACTGTGAGCTCACTAAATATTTCTATTTTAATAGCACTTAGCACATAAATAAAAGAATAAACCGTCGTTCTTCAGTTCTACTAAAATTTAAATCTCCTATTTAACTATTTCCTTCGTTCGAGCGTTTGTTATTAAAAATAAATCTATTGGTGCAGTCGTGAATCGAACGCGCGACCTCTCCTGTTGTTAACTTGTTTGGTTTAGTTGGCCAATTTAATTTTTGTCTTTATTATTTACGTAATAAAGAAATTTATAAGATTACTATTAATTTGATTAATAAACTTACTAACTAACTGTACTTCCTTTTCTATATCTGATCGAAAGTTACAACTTACAATTGGATTTGTCATTTATTATTTATTCACGTAATTATAATATAATTTCAAATGCAATAATTCGATGACAAACCGCCGTTTTCAGCTGTTAAAAATATTAAAAGCTTACCAAAAGGCTCTCCATACTGAGAAGCCAGCTGACTGAAGAGGCAGGCTCACAGCTAGTCCTTCAGGGAAGTTCTGGATGCCAATGCCCAGCGCCAGGTTTCTATAACAAAACATTTTTAATCAGTACCTATTGATAGTTACGAATTTTTATGATAAACATGTGTGGTTTACAGATATTAAAATCAACAGCCATAATAAAATCCTACCACAGCTTCTTTGGGCCCAGAACCAAAAAGCCGTCAATTTTTTCAAATACCCCCCAATTATTAATATCAATTACTCCATGATATATGTATATCTTTATTGCTGACCACTGCTTATTGTCTGGCCGAATACATCGGTTTTAAAGAGTTAAACAAAAATGAATAAAAATATTACCAGCATTCACTTTACGCGTAATTATTTAAAAATAGTATACAGACTACGTCAAACAATTAAATTCGAATTCAATTAATTAACTGGAATCGACCTACGACCGAGGACGTAAATTTCCTTAGGTGCCCGTTTTTTTTGCAAAATAGTTTAAATATGTGCAACGTAAAGAAGTGTAAAGTCAAAGACATTATAATCTTAACAAAATGAGACATACATATATATATATATATGTGCAACTCAAGATGAGTTTAAATTCAAAGACATTATAATCTTAACAAAACTACACAACTAGAAAAGCTTTATATATCCAAACCCCAACGACTTCAGCTTTAAGTCAAGATTCAGAGTCGAGACTTATACTCCGATTTTTCATTCCGTAGAATTCTAACATTTCATAAGTGTTGCTACTAAAAAAGTTCTCCACCGAAAACGGGACAAATTTGACTTATTTGTGGGCAATAAAAAAGCTACGTATTTTTTATGTTTTACCTACAAAAAGGTAAATCTAAATAATTAATTACTCAAGTGACCTAATACAAAATACATTAACTAAAACATGTATATATAGCTCAGATGTTCAGACTCGTATTGAAATTGAAAAATGTGCCTGGCCAAAAAGGTTTGCCATCTCTGCATTTCAAAAAATGATAGCTGTCAGAATTTTACGGAATTAAAAATCAGAGTATAGTACGAATTCAAAAATATGTATTTGACATACGGCGTTAGCGCAGTCTTACATAGTCGAAGATGAGTTTGCATAGAATCGCAAGTATCGCAGGAATGTCACTGCATTCCGTTAGGGCGTTCCTCCTCAGCACCTGTCTTGATCTAGGAATGCTAACTGTACAGCCTTCGTCGCCGTTAACTAAAGGTCATTGCGTAAGATTATATCACCGATTTCTGTGCTGCAGTGTTACTCAGAATGTTTTAGAATCGATTAATTCAACCTTTAAATTGTGGAGATATCGTGATGCCTTCTGCGGAAATAATTTTTATTTCGTCAGGTGTTATAGAGAAAAGATAGAGAGATTTTACTAGGGGGTAAGATTCGTTCCACAACTGAGTGTTTTTTTTAGTGCAGTTTTGCGTGTCTATGGGCGGCGGTAGTATCACTTAACATCAGGTGAGATATAAAAAAAACGAGAGTTAACTAAGCACAATGTCAAAGAAGATGTAGTTCTCGCTAAGCTAATCACGCCCTTGGAAAATTGTAGCCTAATAAATAACAAATACAATGTTAGGTTCACGTTCTATAAGACCGATAGAGCCGAAGGCTATTCGCCTGCCTTATAAATTATGTATGTAACAGACCCCGTAGGTCTTCCTTCAGTTTAATACAGTTTAACACGTAAATGTCGTCGCCAAATATTGGTATCAAAATTCTTCATGCTGTTGCATTTTTTCTTATAAATATATGACAGACATTTATAATTTAACCCATTATCACGAACGTTTGTTTGAATTCGTACCCCGTCTGTGCACTAATGGATTTTTCTTTGCGGTGGAGGAAAACATCGTGAGGAAGGCATGCTTAGAATGGGTCCAAAATAAAAGACCCAATATATACCTATAACATTTTTGAAACTTCTATGTCTAAAAGATGATTAAAATCGATCATTTATATATACGTATTTATATATAATCTATATTATTGCTTCTATTTCACCATGCCTCCTGCTCATAGAGGACAAATCTTTGTTTGTAATTTATTTTATTATTATTAATTAACTATTAATTACTTAAGATGTCATGTGGAACATGGTGTAATGGTTGCAGCTCCTAACAAACGTTGTGTAACACAAAAAACTTGGCAATTATATGTTTTTCATTTTTGACGTTCATAAGTGTACATTGTGTTACCTATATGAATAAGTATTTTGATTTGATTTATAAATTCAAAGCCATATAAGCACGATAGTATTTTACAGTAGCGAACCGCAGAGCATGAAAGCACACCGCACAACTTTCTAGTACGCGATAATGACTGTACCATACATTCCTCGAAGCGACAACCAAAAATATTTGTACACAGGGCCATAAACGGAAAATGGACATTTCTGTGAACATTGTTTCATAGACTACTTAACGTTTCGATAAAGAGGGTTCGATATTATAAGCTTCAGAGTTGAGGCTTAGCACGAACTTTGTTTTCCAAAAATACGTATATCCTATTAGATCATTTAGAAATCGACTAAATTGAATGATCCATTGTTGTTTATATTAAGTAGATAATGTAACACTGTGGTTTTATGTATGATAACGTATTGATAAAATAATTTATAATGTAATGTTGTGATTGAATAAAGTAAATAAATAAATCAATGGCGACACAACCTTTTAGCCCTCAGATTTCTGTATCTGTTTTATGATAATTTGTCAATCTAATAGTCAAGTAGGTGATCAGCCTCCTGTGCCTGATACACGCCGTCAACTTTTTGGGTCTAAGGCAAGCTGGTTTTCTTACGATAGACAGAAAGTTCATTGGTGCATAGCCGGGGATCGAACTTACGAACTCAGGGATGAGAGTCGCACACTGAAGCCACTAGGCTAACACTGCTCTGTTGTGATTTAATATGTAATTAAAATTTATTTTAAAAACGATCTTAAACAAAACTTAACGATCTTAAGCTTACATACGCTCAGGATCGGTTCATTTCTAGTGCACCATTGGACACTGGACTAAGTGAGGTTATTTTATCAAATCATAATTGCCTATCAGAAGAACGCCTTTTGGCCAAAGGCACCAATATCCAAATTGAGCATTCTGATACAAGAGCTATCCATAGTTGCTCCTCTTTACTTTGAAATCGATTTTCCTATAGGTTTTCTAATTTATGAATCGATTTACATCGATTTTACTCTTCATGTTTGTTGTTTGCCTGCAAGTGCTTGTCACATTAAATTTTGTATTTTATTTTTCTTATGTACCAATGTATGAGTGTGCCGAGTGTTGGCAAGCTTTTGTAAATATAAATAAATTATAAAATCTTCTAAATACAAACCTTAAAGGATAGGTTTTCATACGATTCGTTAATCAACAGTTTATGTAAGACAAGCTACGATGCTTAAGTTAACTATTACTGAACGTCTCTGACTACGTGTCGTACGTACGAAATTTTTTATTTAAACAAACAATTTTTAGTTCTATTTACAAAATGGTGCAATGTAGAATAATTAAAAAAAATACCTTGTAAATAACCCACATTTTTAATACAAATTTATTAACACTTCGTTGCATAAAATAATACATTTAATAAAACACTATTTTGACCGGATTGAAGTTATGTATTATTATAAATTTACAACTATTTAACATAATTTTAAATTTATCCGACGTTTCGCGTGCTTTACAGCGTGCGTGGTCACGGTGACTTCAATCCGGTCAAAATAGTGTTTTATTAAATGAATAAAAGTTATGTTAATCAAAGACAATACTAAAATAATACAATTGACATAATTAAATAAAAAGGAGGGCAACTGGCCACCTTATCGCTTTCGAGCGATTTGTTACAGGCAAACACTGTGAGAAGAAAAAGAAATTAAATTATATAAGGTATGCAAGAAGGGCAATTAAAACATATGTAAACAGTCTTCAGGACAATATTAAAAAAAAGAACACATAAAAACAAAATGTGCACATGATAATTATTGAGATCGGTTATAGACAAAATGATGAGATTCTTAAAAAAAATGATTCGCATTTGTACAAAATTCAAAACTTTATAGTTATTCGATGTCAATATTCAGCTTCGAGTATACGGGTGCCTTAGTCTGGCGATAGCATTGTAGGGTCTCCTTATATACAAACAAATTATTATTTAATTTAAAGACTAAAAAGTTTTTAAGTTGCGTTTTATTATGAAAAAAGACCACTAAACTTTTTGTTAATATAAAGCAGTTTTATATGTATCCTTTTTAAAGTTTGTATTTAGTATCATTAGTTCATTTTGCTAGTTACAACAGTGACAATCGATTTAGCAACGAATTATCGTACTGTGTAACCTATTATGTCAACAATCTATAGAAATTTTGTAAGTGAGCGGTGTAACGTTGACTCCGGATACATCCGAATTCCAATTACATCACAGACGAGACCATTTCACTTTCCGACCTACCCGGAAGTGAATTCCTATGCCCGAGCATACAGCGCGCCCGATATCCGTATAGCGCATTCCATTTTGAACCTCAACATCAGCAGCACAGGGTTCACTCGCCACATTCCGCAAAAACTATCGACCGACCACAAAATACCAAAGCGGATGTGAATGTTCGAGATATTCACTCAAAAAGTGACTTAGTTTTCGAGCGGCAGAGTGTAGATTATTTTGTATACGGGCATCGCGAAAGTAGTACCAACTTTCACAGCGCGGAGGGCGCGGGGCCTTGACGCGACGGCCCATTGACGACACCGTGACCCACATACCACAGCTTCATTCATGCCGCGCTCAGGACTCCGGGCCCCGAACAAAACACTTGCCAGAACCGAAATTTCCATCATTCACTTACACAACATGCATTGTCGCAATCTAAGCAGTGCGGGTTACGCGAGGCCACCACGTATACACTTGTTCAATTAGTACCATCTTGTACCTGAACAAATAACAGGATGTTTTGAATCAATAAATGTACTAACGCGTACATAATGGTGCATCTCGGAGGCATACTGACAATTCTGAGTTATTAAAATTGCATTAATAACAATGTAGGTACGAGAATTGAGCGCAACTTTCGAGCTTGTTTTCGTAGTTGTGTGACGAGTGTATTTACCGTATAGAATGTGATAGATTAATTGGTAACTGGTATTGCGAGGTGAGTGCGCTGTAGGTATCGCGGATTGCAGGCGACGGCTCGGGGGCGCGCGGGGAGAGGGGCCTGGCTGCCAGACAGCGGGGCTCCGATGGGAGACCAACAGCCTCTTGATTCTTGCATAGTTGAGAATCTATTCGACCACTGCTCCACTTCGCATAAACATTGCATATTTTATTCGGTGAAAGATGTTTTTAATGTTGCGATAACGTTTCTTAATCGTACTGAAATCGTCTTTATTGATGTTTCTAAACGATATTAGTTTATTTCGAAATACAAGGTTTACAAAAGACGACAGACTCGACGGCCACGGTACAAAGTTTTCCGTATAAACCACCGCAGGTACTAACTAAATAGTATGGAGACTTCTTACAACACAATTAAAACCTCTTTTCACTAAAGTCAATACAATGTAGACAAATACCACTTTGCTTGACGGTCACAGAACATAATATATAGACAAGAATCAATATCTAATTCACAAAGACGACAATGCTATAAATTTTATTAATACCCCATATTCAACTTTTTCACGTCCTACCAGAACTGCTGAATAAAATTATACATTAATAATTTCGAAATGAATTATGCATCTGTCATTCCTTCAGTGTTTTTCTTACATATTCTGATTTATTCGGTGAACTGATTAACCAAATAACTCAGATGAAAGATACGAAGGGCAAAGCTAAAACAAAACTAGCCCTATGAAGTGCAGCAAGATCGGCGTCGGCGCCGAGCACGTCACGCGACCGCATTCCATGGCGCCTCCATTCATGGGGCGCGAGTGAGAGGCTGCAATGGGACCTTTAGTATGAACGAGAAGGGAAATCGAGCGCCGTTACCCTGTAAGAATGCAATTCGTAAGCACGCGCACGGATTTGATGCTCGCTACGTTCCGATCATATGTCCGTCATAGAGACGTCCTGCTCGCGCACAGCGAATTACCTCTGCGGGCGCATATCGGCCGATGCGTTTGTTTGCATACTGCCGGTGTGATTTGATCGATCGCCCGTTTCCTGTGAGAAACACAGGTTGTTTGTCGAGTCAGGTGGAATCGTGACCGTTAATTTTGTGATCAAAGATATTTTGTTAAAGCAATTTTCTCGCGGTCGTATCTACTTCAACACAAATGGAAGACGACTCCAAAGTTCGTTCGATTTTGCCAATTTCCACATCGTCACTGTAGATAACCTCGTATGTCAAAAAACTATTTATTTTTTATTCTTAGACTCTTATGTCATTTAACTGGTATAATCATAAAGTAAGGACTTATTTATGTTATTAATATACCATCTAAAACTATGGACAAAGACACATAGTAATATTTTAACGAACATTGAACGAAATGAAAAAAAAAAAAAGGGTGCGTGTACTTATGTACGCGCGTAAGAAGTTATACTTCTTTGGCATTATTAAAAATAGTTTTTGATTGCATGCAAATAATTAATTACAATTAAATAATCAAAGACTGGAAAAGGAGTCATTAAAGTCAATAAAGTTCAGTTTACATTTGAAAAATTAATTAAATAAATATTTATTATTATTCTCTTACATTAAACAAATAAAACACTATTTATCTTTAAAACATTTTTATTTCATTATACTATTTATTTTTAAGTGACTCTAATGTCTTCAGAATTTCGGTTTGTAATTTTAAATTAATCATTACTTGGTTGTGCATCTACGAGGCTTCTCCAAAACTACTTGCTTTCTGCAACAAATAAGAGAATATTAATTTAAGCTCTGTCCATGCAAAACTTAATTTTTTTTATAATTCATATTATACATTTTTTTACACATTTATATTAATATAATTATATAAATGTGTTAATAATATAATTTGTAGCACATGCTACAGACCTGGATAGCAACTTTCTTTTATTCTATTTAGAGATAGAGATAATTTAAATATAATACCGGTGTCTTCCTTGTAGGTTTCTTTGGAGTTGTTTGGGGATTCTTGTTGTTCAGTTCGACATGATTTTCTTTAACCTTTCTTTAATCCTACAAAATAATGAAATTGTTAAGTTATGTTGTCACTGTTGTGCACACCTTTGTTTGGCTTTTTTAGTATTCAAGTTATGTCAAAACTGATTTATTACCTTGTCATTGTTGGCTTTATTTGCTTTTGGGATATCAATTGTTTCCAAAATGATTTTATTTGTAATAACCTGAAATATATAAATAACATCTATTAATTTAAGTATCATGGTGAGTGGTTCGCACTCAGGTATTAAGGTGTATTATACCCACTGTCCATTATAAGTGGGAATGGGCTCACTTCTGGCAGGACAGAGTTTCGGTACTACAAGTGCAACATGGATGTTTTGAGGTATTACAATATCTCTAACTACCCTGTAGGGGAATAAAGTAATGTTGTAAGCATATGCCTATGCTTGAAAGGTTGAACCTTGAACATCACCATACATCATATTTATAATTAACATTCCTACCTCGACACCATCACAATCAAATTCATTGAAATCTACTTCAAACCATTGTGTCTCGAGAAGGTGATGGTGGCTTTGTTCCACCTCCAGTTTTTGATGTTTCACGGCGATAAGATGACAACTCTTTTTTTGTATTCAATTTAGTGCACTTCCACTAATTCATCAATTGTTTTTTGTCTCTTGTCCTTATATTTGCTAGATTAAATCTGATGTTTTGATTAAATAATGTGGTCATTTTTTTGAGATGCAGGTACTTATTAAAATGTTTACTTCTCTGTTATATCGCTCCAAGCCTTCATTTTCTCCTTATTAGTATTCGTGCTTAAATCTTTGTTCTCAATTATTGATATATAGGGTCGTAGAATATTTCTAAAAAGTTGCTGTAACAAACGCAATAAACAAAAGCAATGAATAATGGTTCATGTTTCAGTTTTAATCAACAATAATACTCGATAATACATACGGATAGTTAACCTCAATTGTATTGAAGCACTCAGGAAGGTTAGCACAGTTTTTTCACAAATATTTTATATTATTTCACAAATATTTTGTATAATGAAAATAACTAGGTATATAATTATTAATTTTAAACAATAATTAAAACTCCTATATTTGTTTAAAAGGTAAATGTCATTGTCAGATGTCAATTGTCATGGTCATTCAAAATTCTTGTTAAGCTGCTAAGCTAGAATATGCGTGAAGTTAGCTTCACGCATATTCTATTTCTTTTTACTTGTAGTTTGTCTTATTCCCATCTCGCTCGCGCACGCTATATCACACTGCCAATTTTGTGTCATAGGTGCGCGCGCAATCGTAAAATTTCACTCTCATCAATATTTCATAACGCGCCTAAAGAAGTACAACTTCAAAAAAAATTCGTTCCCTGTACTCTTTGGTTCTCATGACATACGAGGTTATTATTTTACAGCGACGATATAGGACATGAACTTCCATGATATCCAAGCTTAAGCATAACTCTTTAAGGGTTCTTCTACAGGTAGACATCTAGGCGTACCTATGATACATCTCGACCTAACATAAATATCGTCATACATACTGTAGGGCACATAAAGTACAAACATCTATTAGCCAGTAAGAGGAATGTGGTTGGACATGACGGCGGCAAGCTTTAAACAGGTTAATATTAGGTACTCAACCTCATGTTTAGGTATACGATAACATATCCTTTACATTAGCTTTGAGTTTCTTCAACTGAAATATAGACCGTCCGATTCATATCCGCTTATAAGTATGCCGCTCACATACGAAAAGAGAATCGTATAAGATTTCTTCTTAAACTTGAAAGTTTATATGAAAGCCTTACTACGTACTCGTTAAGTGTTAACAATTACTTAAGCCATGTAAATAGCAAAAAAATGGTTTGAAATGAATCCCATCGGAGGCAAAATAGTCTTTAATTCCTGTCGAGAAATAGTTGTATTACATTTGTATTCAATTCAATTCGTAAGGAATTATCCAATTAGACCAAGAATACCTCGATTTGTATATACTATATATATGTAAAGAAATAATTATTTTTCCTAAATTAGATCCTTTAGATTATTGATTATCTATTATGTGTTTACTGATGTTTCATTTAAATTCTTTGTTAGTCTGTGGAAAATACGCTAATTTTGGTTTGTTAGTTAGAACAGTGAACGCAAATAAAATAAATAGGATAAAAGTGATTGTTTTCAGGAAAAATAACAAACTCTAAAGGTTGTTTCTTAAAATTCATATTACAGCAACACATTTGAGTTTTATTCGTGATATATAATTAAACACAAAGCAACTGTCATTTGCACTAATATTATAAAGAAAAATAATTTGATTGTTTGCATTTAATGGGCTCCAAAACTACTGGACGTATTTGAATAATTATTTCACTATTATTCATCCTACATAGGGATGGTTTGGTTAATATTATTGATGGGATTCTTAACTTTTCGAGTAAATTCTACCGCCTTCTTCATCTATCCCTGATAATGTTACCCAAACTGTAAAAATACCAATAAAATCCCTATATCGGGTACGCTGCGTAAACTATTGACAATTTTCTTGAGTAAAATGATGTCTTACAGTTTTATAGAAGACATCAATTGACCAAAAGTCCAAGTCCAAACAAACATAAAAACAATCAGTGGCGCTACACCTTTTTTAGGTCTGGGCCTCAGATTTCTGAATCTGTTTCATGATCATTTGTCAATCTAATAGGTAAGTATATGATCAGCCTCCTGTGCCTGTCTCACGCCGTCGACATTTTTGGGTCTAAGGCAAGCCGGTTTCCTCACGACGTTTTCCTTCAACGTTCGAGCTAATGTTAAATGCGCACATAGAAAGAAAGTCCATTGGTGCACAGCCGGGAATCGAACCTACGACCTCAGGGATGAGTGTCGCACGCTGAAGCCACTAAGCCAACTGATTAGAGTATAAAGTGAATTATCATAACGCTTGTTTCTAAATTGTAATTTTTGTTACACCGAATTGGAGTTTAGCCAAAATTGACACAATAAAAATGTAAACAAAGTCGCATTCTGATTAAAAATAAGGTTAAATCACTAAGGTCGTTCTGTCTGCACGCGATTCAAATGACTCATTACAACGTCTGTGATATGTATTTTTGGATGTGAAACATTTAAATAACACAAAATTTTTCGACATTTATAAATAAATGTGTATCATGTTTATACATATCGAGATCGAAACCAGATCGATTCCCGT